TTCTAGGTCCTTCCATGTCGTCTCAAAGGATAAGAGATCTTTCTTTCGTACAGATGCATAGTACTCCATTGTGTATATGTACCACTGCTTTTTTATCCATTCGTCTACTGATAGACTGTTACCAGATCTTAGCTATTGTAAATAGTGCTTCTATGAACATGGGGGTACATATATCCTTCCTGATTGGTGTTTCAGGCTTCTTAGGGTATATTCCTAGAAGCGGGATCACTGGGTCAAATGGAAGTTCAATTTTTAATTTTTTGAGGTAACACCATATTTTTTTCCATAGTGGCTGCACCAGTCTGCATTCCCACCAGCAGTGTACTAGAGTCCCCTTTTCTCCACACCCTCGCCAACACTTGTTGTTTGATAATTTGTTGATGGCAGTGTGAGGTGATACTGACAGATGTGAGGTGATAGATACTTCATTGTTGTTTTAATTTGCATCTCTCTGATGATTAGTGATGTTGAGCATTTCTTCATATGTCTCTTGGCCATTTGTATGTCCTGTTTGGAAAGGTGTCTATTCAGCTTCTCTGCCCATTTTTTAATTGGGTTCTTTGTCTTCCTTTTGTTGAGTTGTATGAGCACTCTTTATATATATTGGAAATTAACCCCTTATCTGATGTATCATTGGTAATGATGTTCTCCCATACAGTGGGTTGCCTTTCCATTTTGATAATTGTTTCTTTTGCTGTCCAGAAGCTTTTTAGTTTGATGTAGTCCCATGTGTTCATTTTTTCCTTTGTTTCTGTTGCCTTAGGTGAGTATCAGTGAAAATTCTGCTGCATATGATGTCCGAAATTTTGATGCCTACATTTTCTTCTAGAATTTTTATGGATTCACAGGTCACATTTAAGTCTTTTATCCATTTTGAGTTTACTTTTGTGTATGGTGTAAGTTGATGATCTAGTTTCATTTTTTTGCATGTAGCTGTCCAATTTTCCCAACACCATTTATTAAAGAGGCTGTCTTTACTCCACTGTATGCTCTTGCCTCCTTTGTCAAATATTAATTGAGCATATTGCCTTGGGCCCATTTCTGGGTTCTCAGTTCTGTTCCACTGGTCTATATGCCTGTTCTTGTGCCAGTACCAGGCTGTTTTGATTACAGTCGCTTTGTAGTATAACCTGATATCTGGTAATGTGATCCCACATACTTTGTCCTTCTTTTTCAAAATTGCTGTGGCTATTCGGGAACTTTTTTGGTTCCATATGAACTTTTGCCACTCTCCATTCTTGAACTAATTCTAGTTCTTTTTTTAAATCCTCAGCTGAGGATATTTTTCCATTTATCACCAGACAGAGTGGGAGGGAGGGAGAGAGAAACATTGACTGGTTGCCTCCCGCATGACCCAATCAAGGCCGGGGATGAACTGAAACCGAGGTACTTGCCCTTGACCAGAACTGAACCTGTGACTCATTGGTCCATGGGCCGACGCTCTAACCACTGAGCCAAGCCAGCCATGGCTGATTCTAGCTGTGTATCTCCATCCAAGACTATGCCCTGGACCCCAGACTGAAGCTTCCACTGTGACCACATGGATCATCCCTGAGCCTTCAGAGTCACACAACCAAAGCCTTCCTCTCTTCTCTGCTCACTCCCAAAGGCTCCTCACGTGGGGAAGGGGTGCTTAGCGGCACATACTCCTGAGTTGAACAGAACCGTGGGATTCGCTCTTACTTGTCTCCTTCTCACTCTGCTGAGTCAGGTATCCAACTGCCAATTCTCCTCCTCGAGGTCGCCCCTCCTGCTGCAGGGGCTTGCAGGGTGTGGCTTTCATCCAGGGCTCCTGGTCCACAGCTGAGTTTTCAGGAGGGAAGAACTGGTCAGATCAGCATTTGTAGGGAAAGTTGTTCTGGCAGTGTGGGTGGGGCAGGGCTCTGCTGAGGTGACATCTTGGTCCACCACAGCCCTGCCTTTATTTGAACTCTGCAGGTCTGGGAAAAAGCATCTCTCTCTCTCTCTCTCCCTCCCCCTCCCTCTTTTGGATTCTTATATTTTACTTAAAACAACAGAGTAAAATAACTTGAAAGAAAAGTCCTTCTACAAGCTGTAAAATCTTATTTTGCTGTTCTCTCCCTAATACCCAACGTTATTTGTTCCTGGACGTAAACATAACTAGCATGTGCAGCTACTGGCGAGTGCGCATCTACTCTTGCTTAGGTGCCTGTCTCTCACTTTGGCTAGGAATTTCTGCTAGTTCTGCCTGAATAATACAGACTTCAGGTTGTTTAATTGGTTAGAATTAAGACTAGATTGTGTGTAAAGCCCTTTGTAAATAAATATTCTCACCATTTTTTACAGGTGGATAAAGGGCCTGAGTTGGTGACACACCAACCCCGTGCCCTGCCCAGGTCTGATCCCTGGGGTCTACCTGGCGAGGAGCCTCTGCTCACAGATGGGTGTCTCCTGATCTTTGGTCCTCTGAGAGAGAGTGCTTTCTACTCTAAGAGAACCACTGAAATCCCCATTGGCATGAATGTCTCCCATCCATGGGGGTGTAGGTTGTTCTGGATTGAGTATAGGAGTGGCTCCCCGAGACATATCCAGTTGAAACGAGAGCTGGAAGCAGGGGCAAAGCCCATGTCTTGGGTGCCCCATCATCTCAGTTCATTTATCAGTGAAAATTGCCGCTCACCTGTGTTGTCCTGGCTGTGTCCTTAGAGTGTAGAACACAGCAGGGTATGGCAAAGGGGTTCAAAGGACTGTGTTAAATGGATGCAGTTAAGCCCCCGGCAGGAAACGGCAGAGGAGTTTGGTTGCTTTGGGGTTCACTCGTGATTCCCAGCTCCTGTTCAGTCAGGCAGCTGCCTGAGGCCTCTTGTGCTCAGGGCACAGGAAAGCCAGGGAGGGAACAAGTATCACCAGTTGACAAATGCTGATTTTAGCAGAATCACTTCAAGGACAGTGCCGTGCAGAATGGGGTGAGACCCCCCGGTATGCCCAAGGAAGCACCTGCAGATGGTGGCTGAACCTCTCTTTCCCGGGAGCGTGGGGTCAGCGCATGTAGCACTTTGTGCAAAGAGCAGATTGCAAGCCGGGCTCCTCCACAATTGGTCCCCAGGCCCAGCTTCCAAATGATGGACAGGGGACAAATGCTCTTACTCAAACAGGACCCTTTGAGGGATCTATGTCACCTGCCTAAAGATGCCTTCCCCAGTACCTTAGTCTGGTTGTGACCATCAAGATGAAGACACGTCACATTTGTGGGCACTTACAAATCTATGCGCATGAATTAGAAGCTTAAACTGAATAGTAACAGGCTTCAGATCTGCTGAGCGTTCTGATTTTAGGTGAGAAAAAAAACACAAAATCTTGCCAGTACTTTTGCATCAAAGAGAGAGATAAATTTGCTAATTGAAAAATGGTTCGCATGGAGCAAAATATGGAGATGCCAGCTATGCAAATTAACATATGCCCAGATCTAAAAGAAACCATGTCACAACAGGAGGCAATGAAGATTAGGATTATGAGGAAGCAACCCCACAAGCAAACTGAAAGGACTCAGGTGCCTTAGTTTACCTCAGGAGGGTGTTGTGGACCAGTTCAGATGTGATGAGAGCACTTGTTTGGGAAGTCCCAGGTGTGTATATGGGTGCAGGTGGTGGGTGCATGCTGTGCTATCCAGGTCAAGGTGAGCTTTTCCTACAAGCTCTGGAATGCAAGCCTCGTAATACCCCTTCCGCTTGAGGCAGCAGGAAGCCGCTTCACCAAAGGCTCCTAAGAAATTCCGTTTTTGCGCTGCAGGTATCTGGTTGGGCTTCTCTACTTAGCGACTGAGAACTTGATTAGCACTGGGAAGCTTCCATTCCGCCCCCAGCACAAATTGCCTATGGCTGGGCTAGGTCTCAGTACTGCTGTTGTTGGCAGGGGGTCACAAAGAGAAGACTGGGCATCCCTGGGACCCGGGTCTGCGGAAGAGGGAGCTGGCGCGAGCCGCTGGGACGCACGCCGCCTGGCGGTGACTGCTCTGGAGCAGCGCTGAGCCAGGCTCTGGGCCGAGCCAGGGTCCACTGAGGAAGGGTTCATCCTTGGCCCCAGGCAGCTTGCGGTGCACTGCAGAGGCCGCCTGCAGTGGGTAAAGGAGGAGCACTGTTCTGTGCCTGCGAGAACCCAAGACCAGTTCACAGTGGGCTTCCACGCGAGAACCGAGACGTCCTGTGCAAAGGCCCGGAGACGACCTGCGTGGTGCGTTGCACCGGAGCTAGTGGGACGTGGGGGTAGGGACCACAGGGAAAGAGGACCCGCTGAGGGCTTAGGAAAGTGCTTGGCAGATTTTCCCCAGAGAGAAATCAACCCGTCCCCAGAGGCAATCAATGCCGCCTAGTGTCGGGTCTGCAACCCTGGACCCAAGTAGAGCCAGGCAGAGAGCGGACCTAGCGCGGTCCCGGCTGGGGCCCCAGCCCCGCCCGGCGGCGGGACGTGCCGGCTCGTGCGCGGCCACCTGGGCCTCCGCTCGCCGCCGCGCGAGGATTCCGGTTCCCGGACCCGCCGGGTGCCTCCAGCGCCTTGCGCACGGTCCGCGAGGGCCGGCAGCCTCCAGCGGCCGCCCGAGAGCCCGGGGGCGCGATCCGCGGGATCCCGGCCAGGCGCGCCCTCAGCGCCCTGCGCCCCTGCCCGCCCCGCCTGCCAGTGGTCCAGAGGCGTGGGCGCGCAGAGCCCGGGAGGAGTGTGGGCGGGCGGGGGCCAGGAGTCTGGGGGTGCCGGCGGGTGGGGCCCGAGCTGAGGTCTGGGGTGCGAGCGGGCCGGGCCGAGCCCGGGGGCGGTGGCGGCGTGGCAGCCGCGCTCCGAGGCGAGGGCGGCGGGCAGGAGGAGGGGCTCCCCGCGCGGGGCAGGGGCGGAGCGAGCGGCCGCGCCGCGGAACCAAGTGAGTTCGCTCCGGAGCCTGTGCCGCCGCCGGCCCGCACCTCCGGCGCCCGCCACCCCCGCTGCCCCCGCCGCCGCCGCCCGCGTGGGGATGTAGGATGCTGGTGGGCGCCAGGCTCCAGCGGCGGCGGCGGCAGCCTCTCCTCTGGCCGATGAATGCAGACCCGCCGCCGCCGCCCTGGGTTTGGATGGTCCCTGGCTCGGCCGGGCTGCTCCGGCTGGGTGCCGGGGTCGCGCCCCCGCCTGTGCTGCTCGCCGCGGCCCAGCCCCACGCCGCTCCGCTGCTCCCGGGGCTGCCCGGCTGGCAAGCCCCCGGCGAGCCCCTGCTGCCTCTGGTGCCGCTGTCCTCTGCGCCAGACCACGCCGCCGCCGCCGCGCACCACTACCCCCTGCTCCACGGGCAGGTAACGTGTCCCCGTCCCTGATCTTGGGCTCTGGGTCTCGGAGCTCACCCTTGTCCCTGGGCGCGGCCCTCATTGGTCTGGGGGGCCCTGTCCCTGGGGCTCGCGCTCGTCCGCCTCTGGTGGTCCTGGCTCCCCAAACCGCCAGGGCACAGCCTGGCAGCCATGCCTCGGCAACAAAGTTCATGCTTTGACGTCCCGTCCTGCCCCCAGGCAGATTTTTCAGTATTTTTCGTGGTCTCTCGGGCAAGCATGTTAGAGACCCGCACCCCGAGGTCGGAGTTGGGACCGCGGCCACAACTTTCGCCTGGCCGGGGTCGCTGTCCACAGAGCGGTGCTGAAGTAGCCATCGCCAGAGCCCAGCGTTACCGCCTCGCACTGTGGCCGACTATCGCAGAGAAGTTAATACTTTTACAGTCTCTGTTAGACTTGGAAAGCAAGCTGGGAATCAATAGCTATTTCTGATTCTGATCTGTTTTATTTTTTTTTCCATGTGAAAATAGACTCAGGCCAATGCTTAAGAGAATTCAAACCAATGGAAGCCGGCAGGGAAATCCTGCCTTTAATACCGAGAAACGTTAACAGCGATAAACTACCCCCACCAACCTCGGTCCTCCTGAGCCCACCTAATTATCTAGCTAATGCCATATTGCACTTTAGAATTCTTTGGCATGTAAAACCTAGAATTAAAAAGAAAAAGTGACTCTATCTGATTAATGGTGCAACCGAGCAAGGCAGACTGGTTTTAGCAAGAGCCATTGTTTGCTCTCTAACTATGCAGATGCATGTAAATCAGGGAATATCATGTTTTATTCCAAGGATAGTTTTCATTAGCATATTCAAATAAGTGGTAGATTAGAATACACCATTTAATTAATTTTATTCCAATATTATTTTGTGAGCTTTTCTGAAAGATGTTGTTGAACTCCTCCTACACTGGTCTTTAGATTCAACACATCACATATGCAGTCCTGGATATCTATTTTGATGTGTGATGCAGTTCATACTGGGCTTTATTGAATAAACGTTGGTAGCTTTTTGGATATATTCAAGGGGTTGCTATATCAGAGTGCAACCACTAGAGGTATATAATGTCCAGGAACTACATTTTTCTCCCACCTATATAGAACACTGCATTTTTGTGTGTGTGGTGTAAATTTTAAAATGTATTTTAAAATTTTGTTATTGTTCTTTTAAATATTTTTGTGCTACACATTTTCTGTTAAATTACTATATTTAGAACCAGAAGAACATTTTCATGTAACAGGAGAATAAAAAATCCTTTTATGGTTTTAAAAGAAATAGATGTTGAAGCATTCCATGTCACTGAGCATTGATTCTATTAGTTCTCCAGTGGTGATGATTCAATTATTTTAACTAGGGAGACTGTCTCCACTACAGTCTGCCCCTCTCAGTATTCACTCTTTTATTCTGTGCTTTGGGATCTTCAGTTATTGATGAGCTCACTTACATCTTCTTTGCCTTGGAATCTGTTTGCATTTCTGAGCCTTGAGCAACTTTAAATCTTAACCCCTTGATGAGTTTTATTTTGAAAATAGAATTTGTGTTTATCTTTAAAAAGATAAGTGTAATTCATACACAATGTTATATTGGAAGGACTATCAGACCTAGAGCTCTCTGCTTGCTTATGAAAAGAAGTCAAGGACTATAAAAGGAACACCCAGCATTTCACCTTTGCATTGTGGTTCTTCATTACCTCAGGGCAGAAATCCACTTCTTACCATGTTCTCATGCTTTTGTGCTTAGAAGTTCTTTCTCAACATTGAAGAATGCAATGTGGGCAAACGCTTTGTGATAATTCTCATATGAAAACATAAATGTTTAAAATTTGTGAAAATTTGTGGGGTTGATTTTTGACTAGGGAAAGAGGGATTTTTCCTCATAATTAAATACATACATTTTTAAATTTATTTTTTAAAAAGCAGCCACCCCAGTATCTTTTGGTACAAAATAGAGTTGATTGATATGGGCTAACAAGTATTCCCTTCTCTCTTCTTGGGTTTCAGTGGCTATTTGGTGGCCCTTCTCCTTCAATAGGACTGTCCCCTTCTTCCACTGTGGAGCTGGTGCCCATTTTCCCACATGTCTGCCCATCTGCTCTCCCACCTCCTGTTGGGAAAAGTTGGATAGACAAACGGATACCTAATTGTAAGGTAAAAATGCAAGTAGTTTTATTGGATAAATGGGCTTCAATTATTAAGTTATTGGGTATTTCCATAACAACAGAAACAGTATGTTTTTTATTTGCTAATTGTATTAGATTGACCATCTATCTAGGTCTAAAGAGGAATCTTTTCAGAATAAGATCAATGGATAGGGCGGGGTTTACTTTGTTTTAGCTTAAAACTTTTCAATTCCACAGAACAATATAAATTTTTCTATTGTGAATCAGAATCTACTTTTTACAATTTACAGTTTTTAAGTCTGTAACAATGGATCAAAATATAGCCTTAAACATTATAGAATTCAAGTATAAAATTTTAAAGCGAGCTTTTCTTCTATTATTACTTTAAGTGTTCATCTTTCTGGTGGTTTATTTTGGCTTTTGGATTCAAATTCACTGACCATACTTTGTTTAATTGAAAACTAAAATAATAATAATAATAATAATAATAATAATAATAAGTGATGTGGTGACTTGTCTAAACTACACAACCGACCTCATTGTGGTGATTCTTTAGTCTGTAAATGGGCTGCTGTGCTGCATTAATCGAGTCAATAGCTGAAGACCAGTACAGACAACTTTAACTAGACAGTGATTGTTATTGGAGCCCAGTGGATCTTTAGGTTGGAGAATGATGCTTTTATAGAGTCCCCACTTATACACTCTCCAATATTTGATCAATGTAAGACAAGATAAATATTTTACAGTTGTCTTTAGCCTTTATCATGTGCATGGTCTGAAATGTTATACTTGCTTTCTTTTTGGACAGATCTTTTTAAATAATTCCTTTGCTCTGGACTCAACATGGATATATCCCGAGGAATCAAGCTTGTTCCACGGGTATGAAAAGCCTTGTTTATTGGCAAATCAAGTAGCTGTGTCTCTGTCCAGGCCAGCTCCTGCCTCCAGGCCTCTTCCCACAGTGGTGTTAACACCTCAGCCTATACCAGGTTGGTGCCCAAATAGCCATGCCAATGTGTGTGTGTGTGTTTCCCTTTTTGTTTTAGCCACAAGTGAGTTAGTTTTAGGTATGAAGATTACATTTGTCATTTTAATGAAACAATTTTTAAAAAATTCTTTCAGCAAAATATAAATTCTTTTCATTGGCATGATTCCTTTTGATAAAGAAGTTGGGTTTGGGGTATCTTCTTCACTGTGTTTCAGGGGTATGGAATTTGTTTTAAGATGAAGAGATGGCCAAAGGGAATTGCCCAGAACCATATTTGTGGTGCTTCATCTTTAGAATTAGACCCAGTCTTCTACTGGTAGCTTTTAATAGGGGCCCTAAATGATTAGAAACATTAAACAATGTTTCTTGTGTAGGGTGAGGTGCAGGCGTCAAAGTTCCCTGGTCTGCAGGACATGCAAGATTTTTGTGACTTTGTGCCTTCACGTTGGGGGTGATACTGGGCATGGTCTATAAAAACACACTCTTTGGAGGATGGACTTTGTTGTATCTTTGGAGTCTAGTGGCCTGAAAGAACATTTGTCCTGCAACAAACTCCCATGAAATAATCTCTGAATGAAAGATTGTATAATAAACCCTTATAGTAACAGAGAATAAAATCATCTCATGAATTTTTAAATTGATTTTTAAAATCACCTTCACATATGATTATATTATAAAAGCAAATGTTGCCTGTGCCAAAATTATCTCACAACACCTTCCATTATAGAATACTTTATGACTTCAGAATTATATTAGCTTCCTGTAATTCCCTACCTACCTACCAAGCTTTCTTCAATGTGTGTCTCTAAAATTTAGTAATAAGGACATGCCCTGTGGATAATGTGATGGTTGAGGAGATGGATTTGTTTGCTTCTCTGTTTGCCTACCTTATGTATTCTTATTTGCTATGGATCTTGTTTAGTAATAAGTCAGAAAGAACTACTCCATTATTTGTGTTTTTCGCGGGCCTTAATGATTCTTGACTGAAACTTGCCTTCTGTCCTTGTAATTAGGCATTGCCGCGTTATTAAAACCTGCATGAGCACCATCCATACTTGCATTTGTAAACAATTTACTCTAAGATGATTATGTTTCCTATTTCATGTAATGATGATGAAAGGTGATTAGATAGCATGTGTTACACAAGGATTCTGAGGCTGCAGGTGGCTCTTTTGGTATATGTAAGATTAATATTTTAGTTTCCTAATGCATTGGCAATAACTGTCACCTAAATAATTAGAAATTACGTTTAAAGGTAGGTAAATTAGTGACACTGTTTAGACAAAATCTTTGAGTGAGCTTTTCACCTCTCAGCTTGAATATCATATAGACATTTTGCAGTACACCTTAATCCTCTTCTTAGAAAACTCATACTATGAACATGCTAAATATCTATTTAGTTGAACAAGCTGTTAACATAAGAAAGGTCCAACCCTGTAGAGAATTTTTAATAAGAGTGTATTAGAGCCAAACAGATGACAATGCTGGGAAGCAAGACCTCAAATGCTCCCGAGAATAACAGTTTTGCAGTCTCTTGAATGCATTTGAAATTAAGGAGGGAATGTAAGGAAGATTAAAGAGAGCAAGGTGGGGATTGGATTACAAACTAGTTAATAAGGTCATGTATTCTCTTGAGGGTGGTAATTACTTTTGTTATTTCAAAGGTGTGTTAATGTAGTTGCCCAAGAACAATGGGCAGGGCTGGCTTAAAACCTTGCACTAAAGGAGAGAGCAACAGGGTAAATGATAGTGGAAAGAATTGACTTTGGGTGGAGAGACACAGTGCAGTATGCAGATGATGTGTTATTGAGTTGTATACTTGAAACCTGTAGGGTTTCATTAACCAATGTTACCCCAATACATTTAATACAAAGTAGAAAAAGGAATTATAGGCCTGGGGCATGATGACCCACCATGACCTACATCGTTAGGAATTTGTGATTAGATCACTGTGTGAGTTTACTTTCTGTCGGACCCCGTTTTCTTTCACAATTCCCCTTTTCAATTATAAATCAGTCTGAAGGATGCATTGATGACCAACTGTTTGGTTGGATAATGTGGTCACACAGGGTGATGAAGGCTCATTTCTAGGAAGTCTCGATATCGATGTGGTCTTGTTGAAATGGTAGACCACTGGGGATGTGGCAATACGTAACCATGAAAAATGCGACTGAATTTTTCCCAAAAAAGGGAAGGGTAAATAAATGGAAGCCTGACAGGTCCTATGATTTTTGTTGTGAAAAACACTCTGGATTATTTCTATCCTGGTAACTGTCATGATCCAAGTTTTATCTTCTGTCTCATTTTCTCTGTATTTGGCATCTAGCGTGACATTCATGTAAGCATGAAAAAGAGTATCGATAGTTATTTTATACATGTTCAGTAATCATGAACAGTTGGACTATATAGAAAAACCCAAAGAACAAGTATAACTATAATTAGGACTAATGTCATTAGCAGACTGGTGAAGACAATCAATTGTTTTCTGTGTTACACATCAATCTGTAGGTGCACAGGCCTTGTGGGTGTTCTGGGCTAGCTGTGTAACCCTGATGCTGGCGGCTTCTCGTCCTTGAGGAGTTTAGGATGACTGCTGTAGGCGGAGGCATGCGTCAGAGACAAGGGTAGATGTCCATTCGTGGTTAGGTGCCTGCAAAGTTCCCTTCCAATGAAGTCGGAGAGTGTCTTTTATTTGATGTCCTTTCCAATAAACGAAATCTCCAGGTAGCAGTCAATGAACTCTAAAGTCTGTGTCTCCTGGGAGCTCACTGTGAAAGGAAGTGGTACCCATTTGGCATTTTCTTGAAGTAACTTTATCAAATCTTGACAATAGCTAAGATGGCCCCTTTTGATAATGTCAACTCGTAAGGGACTTCATCCAAGTCCATCTTAAATGCACTATGACGTGGTGTTGGCCAAGGAAGAGCCAAGCAGCTGTCTTGGGTTTCACATAACCTTGGCTCTTTGTTTAATTTACAACCATTGTTTACACACACTATATATCCCAGAAGTTTCATCACTTATTGTACAAAGATCCCCATGCAATTTAACATTAAAAAAAAAAAAAAAAAAAAAAAAAGCTTTTGAGGTATTGGCCTTTGTCGGACACTGGCAAAGTTATTCCTACATATATTGAGATTTTAACCTTTAAAATTTCAATTTCTAATAAAAACTAAGAAGTAAGCAGCTAGTATTCTTTAGCTTGGAAAATTTGTGGTGACATTTTATAACCTCTAGAAACATATTCCATAGACATCCAAGTCAATTATTGACATGGACTTATTTTTGTAAAATTGCGTAAAACGGAAATATTATATATATTATCAATAATTCAAAATAAATGTCTGTTCTTAAACCAACAAATTTAAACTAGCTTTTATTTAGCAAGGATTAATCTTAGACCATGTGAACTTGAAAAGCATTTGAGTTTGTTTCTATATTTCTGAGAATTTTAGAATACCCAATTCTTACAAGCGCTTGTCTTTAAATTAATTTTAATAATACCACTGGAAGTTGAAAATTATCTTATGTTTACAATATTCATATATAGACACATGCAGACACACAGACTGACAGACAGACAGACAGAAACAGACCTTTTAGGCATGAGGAAAACTCACTAGTTTATGAAAACACAGTTGGATCCAATTTTGTTTTGGAGGCATTTACAATTTATGTCTGTCTTTGACAGGTAAGTTTAAATAACTTGTGTGTCAGAGGATCCTGGTCTCAGCCATTTTAGTATTAACGGAAGGCTGATTGTCATGGGCCTTTCAGCCCTGAAGGCATGATTTCCCATGTTAATTTTAGTTTCTTTATTGATTGATTTTTGAGATCTGAAGCATCCGAACAAACTTCTAGGAGAAACCAGCCTTTAGTGCATGTCTCCACAGGAGCCAAATGTGGCGCATGGCCCTACAGAATTGCTTCACACCCTAGAGGGTGTCACAGATTCTTAGATGTTCAGGTGCACCTGAGCAAGGGCCAGCGAGAGCTCACTGGACTCCACCAGAACCATGATGCTTCCTAGGCAGAAGCATGGGCCCCTCGCTCAGGGTGAGTATTCTTTCATGATTTAAAAAGCAAAACAGAAAACAGCCTCAGCAAATTGGGTATGGAAGAAACACACACACCTCGACAGAATAAAGGCCATAGACAAACCCCACAGCTGACATCATACTCAGTGGTGAAAAGTCAAAAGCTTTTCCTCCAAGATCAGGAGCAAGATGTGACCACAATCACCATTCCTATTCAACGTAGTATTAGAAGTCTTCGGTAAAGCAATCAGGCAAAAATTACAGAAATAAATTTATTTTCTTATATATAGAAAATCCCAGGGACTCCACTGAAACACTGTTGTAACTAATCAATAAATTCAACCGAGTTGCAGGATACAGAATCAGCTTTCAAAAATCAGTTGAGCTTCTATACAGTAACAATGAAATACCTGAAAAAGAAATAAAGAAAACAAACTCATTCACAATAGCATAAAAAAAATAATAAAATACTCATGAATACATTTAACCGAGGAAGGAAAAGATCCAAAAAAATGAAACTACAAGACTTCGACAAAAGAAATTGAAATAGACACAAACAAATGGAAAGATAGCCTGTATTCGTGGGTTAGAAGAATTAATATTAAAATTTCCTTTCTACCCAAACCCATCTATAGATTCAATGCAATCTCTATCAAAATTAAAATGGCATTTTTCACAGAAATGGAAAAAAGAATCCTAAAATATTCATGGAATGGTAAACATCCCTGATTAACCAAAGCAATCTTGAGAAATAACAAAGCTAAAGGCATCACACTTTCTTATTTAGACTATAATACAAAGCTATAATAATCAAAACAGCATAGTACTGACATAAAAATAGACACATAAACCATTGGAACAGAATAGAGAGCTCAGAAATAAACTCCTGCATATATAGTCAACTGATATTTGGCAAGGGAGCCAAGAGCACTTAATGAGGAAGAGATAGTTTTTTAATAAATGA